CTGTCCAGCTCAGGGCACCAGGAGGAGGTGGCCTTTCCCACTGGAAACCATCAGGGTTGAGCAAAGGAAGAGAATCTAATCTCCAAGAGCAGGAAAACTCTCCTCCTCTACTATCTATGCCACAGGCAGGGTGACCAGGGACGTGACCATAGGAACCTTTATCGAAAGGTACAATCAGGAATTTTTGTGTAAAGATTCACAAGGATTCTTCCTGTTGCCCAAATCCAGGGGCCCAGAAGCATGCAGCTGCAGGTATCAACATCTTATTTCAACAGTGTGTGATTTTTTTTTATACCAGGGATCGAACTCAGGACCGTGAACTTGCAAGGCAGGCGCTTATGCTGCTGAGCTAAATTCCCAGAACAAAGGAAAGCCCTCATTCTGACTTTCCTTCTAACTGCCCTCTCCATCACTGTTACTACCAACGCCTTTGCAAACTAGTACTATAAAGCAGGTACCAATAATGCAAAGAAGGTTGTTCTAGAAGAAGACTCGCGTACCTTCCTTCAGTCACACCCCCCAGTCTGCTAGATGAGAAGGTGGAAGACCAGAATTTATTCATAGTTCACTGCTGTGGTTCCCAGGGACCATTTAGGCAGTTAGCTAACCTGAAGGAAGAAGCCATATCCTTCACAGCTCTAACCAACTGACAGGAGAAAACTTCTTTGTTTGCACAAAGAAGCCCTTGTATCTTATTTTGACTTTACAAAGAGATTTTAAATGAATATAAAATCATAATATTATGATAGTTGGTAATCATTATTTCAAAACGACAGATTCTATTGTTCATGGAGAAATTTTCAGTTGGTTTTCTCTTACCAGAGGTTCAATTGAAAAATTCACCAGCTGCTCCCCGAGGAAAACCGCAGATCTACATTTAAATGGAGATATAGTATTTCCAAATGCACAGTACCTAGAAGGCATATACTGTCAAGGTTTCTTCGTGAGAGTAACTCAAATTGTGTTAGGTACATTTCCTTCTCCTCCATTTTATAGGGCTCTGGTTATTTCCATAACATTCTTTTTCCTCTGTGGATTCCTCATGTTTGTCCCAAGAAGTTCAAATTAAACCCTGCTCTATGGCAAAGTCCTCTCAGTAACAACAAGCAATTACTACGACTGTACATATCATTTCTGATGTGTACAGGAAAAAAAAAGGCCACAGAAGAGAGCTTGGCCAGAAATGTTAAATAATTGAAAAGTATAATGACTTAATAGAGTAGTAAGCTTAGTTTACAATGCAGCCAATTTAAAGCCATAAAAATACTGTGTAAAAATTTTATCTTGTGGTTGACCATTACATAGCCTATCTATTATTCAAAAGTATCTCCACAGTGTTTTTCTTCATTAATGTGGCTTTTGGCATTTTCCTCAAAAATCTTTCTATCCCAACAGTTTTCCAACAATTTTGAAATAAATACGAAATTTCTGTATTACTGCCCAATCTCCTTTACTACACTGATAGTATCTTCAATGTCTAATTGAAACCGATTTCACAGGTCAATATGCAAGGCACCCTCTAACCTGTCTGGATATGATTTGTTTTGCGTGTAACAAAATCATGTGCACAGCACATTAAAACAAACAAACAAACCACAACAAAACAACCAAAGCTACTTGTACTGCAGTATCTGCTATCAAAAGGGCAGTCCCCTAAGTCCCCTCCTCTCCTGCCACACAGTGATCCAGGCACTTGTCTGTATCAGAATCTGTCAAGAGGCATCAGAAAAGTTTTTTTTTTTTTTTTTTTTTTTTTGCATTGAATATTCAGCTAAGGTGCACACAGCATGCCTGGAAAGAAGGCAAAAGAGACTTAGGATCCATTTCAAAGCTAAGCCTGTTACCTCTGGCTGGCTCTTGCTAAAATTCTACCTGCCACTGAGACCTACATCCCTGTAAACAAGGTTACCAAGAACAGCCACAATAGATCTCAAAGACGCTCCCCAAGGAGCCTGCTTAGTTAGACCTCACCCTGCTGCAGGCTGATCCACATTCAGAGCTCCGAATGAAAGCTGGAATATCCTGAAGATCACTTAATATTGAAATACTATTGCAGTAATAAGAGCTGCTCAGTTGGAGAGGGGAATGTGGACTGTCTCGGTAACCTTTTAATTTCTGGAAAAATAAATTGAGCAGCACACATGGAAACCTAATCAGTTGATCTGCTATGTTTTGTTAACGCTCTGGCCCACCACAAACTCCTCCAGCACCCCAAGGCAAGCCCTGCTGAAGAAGACCAGCAGCTTTGGTACTCGGAAGACTTAAAGGCTGTTTTGATTTATTAAAGAAAAGGAACCATCTCTTACCTACATTCATCACCCCGGCGGTGGACACTTTGATGTACAATATGATAGCATTCTCAATAGACAGACATTTAATTCTAGCAATGCAAGCTTGAGGGTTAGAAGCACGGCTGTAGGAAAAAATAATAAAGCCATGCATAGCAGACAAATCTATGCTTAAATGATCATCTAGGCCTGTTTCATTACATAGTTGATTCTTTCCTTATTTGAAGGGGGAAAAAATTAAAAACCCATCAATGTCATGTTACATCCATGAGCATTTTCACGCGGCCATTTCTCAACTCTGATTCAGGAACTGTTCAAATTTCCCTCTCACTCTCACCATGACTTGGTGAACTCATGCTGATCACATCAGGTCTCCTGAAGACTGGGAGAGAACCCTGACACTGCTGCCCCAAGCTGTCCCCTGCCGCGGCCTCCTCCTCCTCCTGGGGGACGTTTCCCCTCTTTCTCTTGCTGTGGCTTCTCCATTGGGCCGTTTTGCAAACCCATGACCCTGTTTGGTCTCTGGGCAGCATGGGAAACAAAACTAGACCAAGTCACTAGACACTTCACAGCATCCCGGCTCTTGATCTCCACTTGGAGGATTAACAGGAGCACTTTTTATTTCTAATGTGGGGGGTAAAGGGTCCCCCAGGCTGCTTTAAGGACTTCTCTGAACCCAGAGGCTGAAAAATTTTTCCTTTCTTTGGAGAAGGGGGCTCCCCAGTGTCAACACACGACACCTGCTCTTCCTGGGCGCCTGCCCTACTGCAGGCCAGGGGGTTCAGGCAGTCTCCACAACACAGCCAAGCAAACAGGCGTCCCCCTGAAGCCGCCCATGTGGCAACTCAAAAGTGACCAAGGCAAGTGCAATAAAGAAGCAATTCCATAGCCAAGCCACAGCCCTGAGAAATGGGGTGTGGGTCCCCTGGGTCCTCCAGACCCCTCTAGCATTGCTCCCTAAGACTCTGAGAGGGGGAAGGGGCTGCGGGGAGGAGGAGGAGGGGCGCAATGCTCTCCGTCTTCCTTCCAAACCTGGGGGAGGGGGCACTGTCTCCTGCAGCCTCTAGGACAGCCCTGAGGGCCACCGGGCACCAGGGGGCAAGGGCCAGGCCGACTTGAAGGGTGGCCCGGTGACCTCAGCACAACTTCAGGGACTCCAGCGGGAAGGTGAAAGGGTCGGGGAGCCAGGGACTAGGAGGGCTGGAGGGAGACCCCGAGGGCCCCAGGGATGCCCAGAGGGGTTCCGCGGGCCACAGCACTCCCCAGCTTCTGGCACCGTCCTCACCTCGCGACCCGGCACCCCGCAGTCCCGGCGCCCTAACTCTGCCCTGACTTTGCCACTTTCCCGAGCGGGAGTCTGCACTCGCCGGGAGGGGGAGGGGAGGGAGGGGTGCTCGCGGACCTTCTCATTGCAATTTGGATCTCTGTGTCGGGGCACTCACGCCAGTTTCGCAGTCCTGGTCAGGCAAGTCTGGGGCGCCAGGCGGCACTTGGGGTCGTGTTAGGGTCTCAGAGGGAGGGGCTCTGCTCTCCCTCCTCCCCCCTCGCTCCCTCTCCGCCAGACTCCAAGCGCGTGCAGGGGGAGGGAAGGGGTCGCCACGCAGCTCTCCACCCGGACTGCGGCGCAGGGCGTCCCCACGCCCACGCCTGTCTCGGAGGTGCAGCGGAGGGGTCTGCAGAGGTTACCTTGGCAGGGTCACAACTGCGGCGGGTTAATCGGGTGAGTCGTCGGGGGTCTGCGAGCAGCTCCCCCACGCCGGTGGCTTTGGCGAGCAAAGCGAACCGAGCCCCCGCGCAGGAGCATGGCACAGCCCGCGCCCGACCTCGCGGGCAGGTGCTGCGCCCACCCGCGGCAAGGGCACGGCGGGCAGGCGGGCGGGGCGCGGGCGGGCTGGGTCGGGCCGGGCCGGGCCGGGGTCGTCCCGCGGGCGCCGGGCGCTGCACTCACTCACCGGGCCGGGCCGGGCCGGGCCGGGCTCCGCTCGCCCCAGCGCCGCGCCGCCTCCCTGCGCGCCGGGCAGCGTCGTCCGCGCTCCCGGTGACCGGGGCGCCGCGATGCTGTCTGCTTTCTCAATGACAACTTGGCCGCGGAGGAGGAGAGCGGCTGCTGGGCTCCCCTCGGGCGGCTACGTGGTATGTGCAGCTTTATGTTTGCATGCGTGGGTCTTTTTAAATAAATAAATAAATAAATATCTGCTAATATATATATATATTTTTCGCGGCACTGTCATGCTTTGATTGCATTAGGATTGCGTTTGCATCGCTGGCGCTTCTGGGTGTGCGTGTGTGCGTGTGCGTATGCGTGTATGTGTGTGTGTGTGTGTAATTTTTTCCCCTTTAAATCCTGCTGCTCCAGCCGCCGCCGCCGCCGCCACCGCCGCAGCCTCTGCAAAAAGGAAAGCAAGCATGCGTTCATCTTTTGTCTTTCATTTTACCTTCAGGGTGACATTCAGTGCCAACTGCTCCCTTTTGACCGGCGCCAATCCCAGCCTGGGCAAAACACATTTGTGAAGCGTAGGGGGAAGGGCCGGGAGCTTGGGGTTTCCATGCCTCCGGAGGAGCCGAGCCCCATCTGCGCACCCACCGCCGCTTCCCGCTACCCACCAGGCCCAGGCCGCGATGGGCAGACACGGCCGGCCGGAGCCTCCGCCCGCCACACACTCGTGTCCGTGGCCGTGCGTGCTGACCTGCGTGGCGGCTGCACCCGGGGTGGTGTGTAGGCCTCACTGCCACCACCGGAGCTATTTTCGTCTCCCGGAGATGTTCTTTAAAGCCTTTTAAAAATGGGGAGGGGGCAGGGAAGAAGAGTGAAACAGAAGAGTCCCAGGCCCCATTTCCGAGACTCTAAGGGCACACCATTAAATTGGGGGAGGGGGGCCTGGCACCCGACCCACCGGGGAAATTCGGAAGGACACAAAGAGTCACCGGCTTTATTTGATTTATTCTACAATCCAGGAAAACTTTCTGTCTTTTTTTAAAAATACAAATCTGTTAGTGGCGACCAGTCACTGTACTGGTCATTCTTATAACCATGCTGCCCACGATCTGTAGGAAAGAACTCAAGGCAAATCCTTGTGGTCGTTTCTGCAAACAAGCTATTTTAGAGGGGATGGCCCCATGACAGATAAAGCACAGATAACTTCTTTCTACAGTTTACTTTGGGCTATTTGTGCATTGTCAGGTGTATTTATGCAACTGCTGGTCATCATAGTACTGTGAATATTCTTCGATGTTCCTGGTGAAGCAGTATCCAGTCCCAGCTTCGGCCCATTCTTTGCCCTTCTTTATCACTGATTGCCCATCTGCAGTAGCAGAATGGGCTAAGGAATTTTTCCCCAAGACTACATTTGCCCTTGGCTCAGCCACTCTCATGTATTGGTAAAGTCACTGTCCCCCACTGATTCCAAATTCCTACAATGACAGCACAAGCTGAGCTTGCAAAAATAGATCAGTGGCAAGAAGAATTGAATCAGAAAACCAGAGGAGATCAAAGAGAAAGACTCTTAACTCATCCAAGATCCATAGGTTGCCTTGTTGGGTCTTTCCCTTCAGAGTCACAGTCGAAGAACCTCTAGCGAATCCCAGGAGGAAGGTACTGTAATTACGCAAAGGCCAGACATTCAGAATTGGAGGAGAGCCTGGCTGAAGTAGACTAAGAGGGTCAGAGGACTATTGACCATGGCTGCGTCCCAAGTCTGCTCCTCCCTGGACAAGGGGGCCAGCTCCTCAGCCTCCTTGGAAGGCAGAAGGATTTGCTGGTGCATTCAAGCGGTGCCCAAAGCTTCCGAGGATCAAGGACGCGGAATGGGGCAAGGCCTGATGAGAACCCTAGCGGTGACATCCATAGATGCGATCATAAGGTCCCATTACCAAACCAAGAGGTGCTGCTGTAATATTCAATCTCGTTATCCAGCTTCTCACTTATTAACCTTGGAACCAGATCCTGAAAGGCCCGTGGCAAAGGGAAAGAACCATAAAAATTTGACTAACATTAGTGCCCTGAAATTCGATTTTATTTTTTCTTTCCAGACAAACGCCTCCTGTGCTGTTTGTCCCAGGTCCACAGGCGAGTGCAGGGGCCTAAGCAGCCGTCTGCCCCATGCTGCATCCTTCCCTGGCTAGCAGAGAGGAAACACAGCTGCTGCTTCTTACTTTCATTACTGGGCATTGAATGTAGAGCCTGCACCCTGAGCCCCATCAGCAGCCCAGCCTTGTTTTATTTTGAGACCAAGTCTTGCTAAGTGACTAAACTGTGCCCGGCCAGGCTTTGATCTGTGATCCTTCTGCCTCAGCCTCCCAGAGGCCTGGGATTACATGTGTGTGCCACCATGCCTAGCTTTGGAGAGGCCTTCTGAGCTGAGACTCTCCAAATCCTACTCTGTCCAAAAATGGCTGTCTGTTGCTTTTTCAAATTCCAATTCCTCAGCCTATTTCAAGTCTTTATTCCTAGTTCCAGCCTAACTATAATAGTTAATGTTGTAGGTGCTCAGTTTAACTCTGCAGCCTAACAAGAAGAATCAGTGCTTACTAGGATGCATACGAAACGTAGAACATAATAGTTGAAACTTGCCTTGTGTTTTGATTTGTAAATCTAAGCACAGCGTGGCGCACACACCTGTGATCCCAGCACTGGGGGAGCCTGAAGCAGGAGAATCTTATCACTGAACCCAGCCTGGGCAACAGAGAGACTTAGCAACCCTGTTTCAAAACTGAAAATTTTTAAAAAGAACTGGGAGTGTAGCTCAATGTGAAGGCCCTGGGTTCAATCTCCAATACCATCAAAACAAACAAACAAAAATCTTGTAAATATAAATCTCCAAATCTCCCCAACCCTGGGAGAGGAAGGCTATTATTATCACTCCCATTTTGCATAAGGCCACTGAGGCCTGGAGGAGATGAGCCAGGATTTAAATTCAAATCCCAAAGCATAAGCTGTTTCCCTACAGAGCTTTCTTACAAACCCACCCGATCTGCCTGCCTCTGCCCAGGACTGGTAGGGCTGGTGACGCCCTGCTCACCTCACAGCCTCTGTCCACTCCTGTCCCAACATCGCCACCCAAGCACACCACGTCCTCCTGTCCTTCCCTAACCTCTATTTGTTCTTACAATTCTACCCGCTGGTTAAGGGCAAGTTGACATCTCCCTTTCCCTGGGAGTATCGAGCCTTCTCTGCCGCTCTGCAGTGTTCATGACTCCGTAGAACACAACCGTCCTCTGCTTGTCTTTAGGTTTGTTTTGTGAGCTTGTCTTTGCCTCCCAATTCCTTTCTGACAGATTTATGTGTTTTCTCGTCCGTCTTTCCCAGTTTTCTGCCAGATACAATGCAGGTCTCATTAACCAACTCGCCCGTGGGAAAGCTGGGGAGCCACATCTCCATCTGATAGAATCTGAACGTTTCAGGTAACCAAAGCTTGATCCTTTTAACAGAAGACGTTATCAACTTGCTTCTTGCAGCCCTAGAAAACAATCAAGTCACAACAAGGGTGAAATTATTTAACCAGAGAGACGCATGCAGCTTCTGCATGACAGGCCGCAGGGTGGGAAGGGCCAGCAGGTTTCTAACATAGCATTTGGAAGGCAATGGTAGCTTTAATCATAGTTCTTTAGCTGCTGGAAGCCTTTCCCCTCTCCAGTTTACATTCTCAGAGGCATTTACCTTTTTTTAACTAAAAGAATAAGAAAACAAGAAGGGACCAGTGGTCCAAAGATAGTGAGCTCACATGGGATCTTTTATTGGTCAGCAGGATGAACAGAAGGGAGTAGGACTATTGGTCTATACCAAGACCTAGTTTTTGGAGATTAGCAAAAAGATGTTAAAGAGCTTAGGCGAAGCTAGCCAAGGTTGTGCCTCTATTTCCTGAGTACACCTTAGAAGAATCCATATACAAAACCATATTCAAGCGTATTTCCCAAAAGTGTGCTTTTTAAGTAAGATAAAATTATTAATAAGCCCATCACATCAGCCAGCTGGATACTAATCACCCTCAACCTTCCTGTAACTTGTTCCCTGTCTAACCCCACTGACATTACCTGCTTGTCGTATAAACATAATTCCACAAGGATGGGTCCAATCCGTGTGCCGATGACTTCAACACACACATCCCTGGAATTAAACCATGACAGGCAAAAACAGAGATCTTGGGAGAGAATGGGAAGACGACTGCTTGCATATTTCCTGGTTATCACTTGCTTTCCTGGAGTCTCTCTCTGGCCCTGTCTGCAGTTCATTTTCAACAGATGCGGTAAAGGCTCTTGAAAAAGACATGGCTCGTCGCATCTCAACTAGGAATAGATTAAGTGGATGGTTTACTTAAAATAGGGGCGTCTACCATGCCCCTAACATGAAAACAAAATCAGTTTCCTGCAAGGACAAGGTCCACGACAGCTCTGGGAGTGTATGGATGAGCTTTGGAAGTCTTGAAGACGTAGGGAAGGTGGTGGGGGGATGCGCGCACACATGCATGTTGGTTCTCAAGAGAAGACGCATACTTTCCTCACATTCACGTTTCCAGAAAGGTGAAGAGCCACCGAAATAAGGATCGCTCTTTGCAGCATTGAACATGAACACACATTTCCTTCAGCCAAACGTCACGCTGCCTACAACATGGATCGTGTTCAGCAATCACCACTATTCCAAAAGATGGTTTTAAAACACAGTACAACTCTCAATCATCAAAGAAATTTATTTTCAAAGTATTTTACTTAACGGATATAGGAGAATATAGCAGCCTATTAGAAAGGTTTGAATATTGAGTTAGAACCAAGTTTAGGTTTTGTTAGCGGTAGACATAGGACACACTGCAGAGCAGACAGCAGAGCTCAGAGATCTGAGATGCAACGGGGCGGGGGGGAGACTGGGGCTCTTCCATTGCTTTGGGTGGTGGAGGTGGTGGAGTGTTCCTGCTTTTGCTTGAGCTGCCTGGGCAGTTCTCTGTGCCAAGCAAGGTGAGCTATAGGACGAAAGTACTCATTGTTTCAGACAGGACTATCAGGAGCCTTTGGTGCAAAGGGATGCAAAGAAAAGGGGACAGAAGCCAGCTCACAGCAGGGCAGGGAGGGACAGGTCAGTGGAAGGCATGGGCGGGGTGTCGGAATCAACAGGCCCAAGGGTTCCCCTTCCAAAACTGGAGTAAAGGTTGGGTAGCAAAAGAGTTACAAACAAAGGATGGGGAAATAATAACACAGAGCAGAAGGTAATGAACTGGTGTGAGAAGCTCTGAGTTAAGAGTCCTTTGGAATAGCCCAACTCCACTGGCCTTAGGAAATGTTTTAGAAAAAGGTCTGCGGCTAGAGAAATCATCAGTGAATTGGTAATGCCTTAAACTGGTAATAAAGGGGGACAAATTAAGAATGTAAAGCTTTCAGGAGAGCCAGAAATAAAGCTGCACTTCCTTGAACAAGGGCTGATGTGCACTGTATGAAATTATCTAGCACCCAAAGCACAGCAGTGCCGACCATTTTAAATATGTGTAGACACCCCTGTAATTTGTACCATAAATATCCGAAAGAATGACTGGTCTCAGAAGTTTATTTTACACCGAGGGTTTTCTGGAGTCCTTTCATGTCAGGACCCAATTTTCCATTTGAGATAGCACATTTAGTGCCTGGGTAGAGACAGGAGCAGAGTTTTCCTTGGCAACCAGGCTCCACTGGAAAAAATAATCAAGGTGTCACCCGATGCCGCAAGCTCCCGATGGTGTTGTCATCTGTGTGGACCTGCCAGTCGCCGGAGCAGCAGAGACTCAGCGTCACGGAAAGATGGCTAAACTTAGAGTCAGGACCGTGGAGGGGGAGTGGCATGCCTGTCCCTTTCTACTGTGGGGACTTTAGGCAACTCATTCACCTCCCCCAAACTGGGTTTCCTCTTCAGTAACTGCCTCATCTCCGCTCACAGTCCTGGGAGCAGGAGGCTTCTGGAGAGCACTAGTGAGCTTCCGAGGTTGTCTCCGCTCCGAGCTCTTCCCCATGGAAAGCCTCCAGTGGCGGGTCTCTCCTTTCTCAGCACCCTCCGTGTCTGGGCTTGTTTTTGTTTGTCTGACCTGAGTAACACTCCCAGCCCATTTTTAAAAGTTGGTTTTGGTTTTCAGTCTTGAGACTGCATTTTGCTAAATCCCTGAGTTCTCAAAGTTGCCCAGGCTGAGCTCCAACTTGTGATCCTCCTGCCTCAGCCTTCCAAAGGGCTAAGATTACAGGTGAGCACCATCATACCCGGCTCCTTATCTCTTCTTCTGCTTTTTATTGTTCCCGTCTATCTGCTGCTCCAGGTCTTTGCTGCCTCTAATGTAACAGATGTTTTATTTGTCTTTTGGGGTATCTGTTACACAATAAGTGCTCTATAATTGCTAACTGAATAAACAATTACCATGGGAGAATCTTTGCCTTCATACTTCCTTATTTATGAAAATGCTTTAGACAAGCTACAAAATGGAGAGTGGGGCCAGCCCAACATAGGCCTGGGCTCAGGGGACTTCACCACAAAATGCGTGTGTTGCTATCACACTGCACATTGTTATCCTGTGGGTACCGTTAGTCTTGTATTTCCCAAACATATTTAAGCTTCAATGCAAGTACCATCCCTCCCTCCAAAAAATGTCAACGCTGACTTTGTTCAATGCTGATACACAAACACTCAATATCAGGTTAGCACAAAAGCCAAGGAAAATGAAGGTGAAAGGTAGCTGTAACCTAAAGGAGCATTAGAGGCTATCACCCAGTGGTGGGAAGGACTCAGGCTGCCACAAACTGTCAGTAGCACATTTCACCTTCTGAATGGAAACTCTGCTGCGGGAATGATCAAAGTCGCTAGGAATTCAAATGAAAACGCATTGATGGTGGCTGCAGAAGGCAAATTCTCTCCTTCCTCTCCCCTTTGTGTGTTTACCTTCCCAGGAAAGGAGAGGACCAAGCCCATCAGTTTGCATCCATGACCAGCTTAGAAGCTGTTCTTTTGGTCTTTTGGATTCTGAACGCTCCCAAAGGCTCCCAGACAAAGACATGTTCCCCAGGTCAGGGTGCTCTGAGGAAAAGGTGGTGTCCCTGTCCCCTCGTCTCTCCTTCACTTACTGGCCCCAGCAAGCCAACTGACCATGGACTGAACCTCCCCAAACCATGAGCCAAAATCAAGTTTTCCTTTTGATAAGCTGAGGAGCCCAGGTGTTTTGTACAGTAACAGAAAGCTATCACAGCCACCTTCCTAAAAACTAAAAATGAGTCTCACAGGAACTGGCTGCTATTAGTGGTTCCCAAACCTGACTTGGGAAGCTTTTAAAAGTCCTGATGCTCAAGTCACCCCCATACCAATGAAATCAGAGTGTCTGAGGCCAGGAGCCCAATGACAGTAATTTTTAAAAAGCCTCAAGAGACCCCAAAGTGCAGAATAATTTGGGAACCACTGACCCCTCTGAGAAACAGTTCTAGGGTTGGGTAATTTGGCTGATGGGACCCCTATACTGACATGGCCTAGGTCCCGGAGGCTGGTCTAGAACAGGGAGTTCCATCCCTGGCCCAGAAGATATATCCTAGCTCCAGCACCACTCTGCTGGAAGTGCCAATGCCTAGATATGTAAGAACATCGGATCCATTCCACCCCAGTACCCAGAAGCAAATGAGAAAGCACATGTATTTGTAGCACTTACAATTTTAAACATGCTCCAACACCTACTTGACTCAACAAGCCGCATACTTGGCATTCTCAATACACCCAATTTACAGGGGATCAAACCTAAGATAAAAGTTCACCTTGCTCAGGGACAAAGTGGCAGAGTGCAGTGTCACAGGGAGGCCAGTACTCTGGTACCACGCTGTCTTCCTGACTGATCTGCCTGGCAGCCCCAGGTCAGTGGAGAAGGTGACTTAGGCCTGGGCTCAACCTACAGCAAGGCAAGATGGGGAGGATGGAAGACAGGAGAGGGGCCAGCCACAGTCACGGGCACGTGGACTAAACAGAGCTCCTTCTGGTGGCCTTTGCAGATGCTTTGCTGTGCTAGTGAGTCTCAGGTTTATTGCTTGCCAATTGCGAAACCCTTTGAGCCCCGCATTTCCGGGACTGGTATCCCAAGGCACCCCATTTGAGAAGCGCTCCACACTGTGCTCCATGACTTCCGGTCCTTCCCACATCCCCGCCCCACCACCCTACCGGAAACCAAATCACCCTGTCCGCAGCCCAGCCCACCTCCCACGTTCTCCTCTTCCCTTTTTCCAACTCTTAACCTGGGCTGCTCCGCTGGAAGTGCATCCATTCTGTTCCCAGTCAGCCTCCTTTTCTGTTGTCTTGATAAGCTGATTCCCAGCCCATGCCTTCTCCGAAGCAAGGACGTTTTCTGCCTATTTTTTTCACAAGCGCATCTCTAGCAGCTTTAAAAACAACTGGTATAGAGTAGATGCTCAGTAAACCTGCAGTGAGTGAAGCAATGATTGGCCACAGAGAAATGCGCCCTGGGAGAAATTTAAATGAAGCTACTGTCTCCAATCAAGGTCCCTTTAAAGTCTCTTTCCTTTCCCATTCTACTCACCCCTCACAATGATCCAGCAAAGTAAACACAAAAATAAAGCAAGGATCAAAGTGGTTGCATTGACCTTGGTGTGGTGGCACTCTGGGAAGCTGAGGCAGGAGGATCCCAAGTTTGAAACCAGCCTGGGAAATTTAGCAAGTCAGTGAGACTCTCACTTTCAAAATAAAGAAATACAGAGAGGGGCTGGGAATATCGATCAGTGCAAAGGCCCTGGGTTCAATACCCAGTACTGCAGAGAGGGTTAAAAAAACAACTGTGATCAGATCTGTAGCAGAGTAAACAACCGTTGAAGCAAAAGACTGCTAAATTGGAACTGATCTTTTTAACTCCCTGTGTAATTGTTATGAGAGAAAGGACGGAGAGTAGATATTTCCAACAGTGGCAAAAAACCCTGACAAAATAGGGACAGCCAGATTATACAGAGACCCTGAGAACTATTTTCTATCTACCAAAGCAGACCAGGCTGAGATATAAAAATTCCATAGATCCCTGCTATAAAAGTGTTAATCACCAACCGGATTCAGATTCTGCATAGGTCAGACCGCACTCTGAACACATTCTCCGGAACCCTAAGGGGACTCAGCCCTGTGTGAGAGAGGCTCCCCGCCACTTGACAAGGTCTCTGCTATGTACTAACAATGCTGAGAGCCGCGGAGAGCTTGTCTTGGGAAAGGTCAGAGTGCCGGAACAACTCAGATCTAAGGAGGCCCGTGATGGGCCATCGAGTTCCGAAAATGACCCAGTTGACCGATTCCACTCCAAACTCGGGAGTAACAGTGAAGTGCAGGATGCACAGTAATGATGTCAGATGGGCGCTTTGCTCCTCTACCCTCCGCTTCTATCCGAAACCCTCACATTTATGAAGTGAGCTCTTTCAGTAATGAAAGTGGTATTTATTAAATACAGCAGAAACTACAAATCCAAACTAGCATTTCCCTTCAAAATAGCCACTCGGGGAGGCCACGTAATGACTTCAGCGATTCTGAGATTGCTCTAAACATTTTGGGAATTCTTCTTTTAAAATCACCTTCATGGCTGGTATAGGACTCATAGAGAAACCCATTATCATGCTTTTACGGCCCTGCTTTATAGAACAGAAATACCACGTTTTCAATCCCCGACAAACGTGGGTGGTCAGTGCTGCTGGTCACACGCCAGCTGCCCAGTATTCTCCAGGGGACTCATGACAGACACTGCACCTGGCTGACCCCCGTGCACTCGGCAGGGCCAGGACAGGGGACCAGGATGTTTCTGAGGGCCGGGCTGCACCCAGCATTCACTGCAAATCATGGTTGGAGTGGTCTGCGGCCAGGCAGGGTTGGGGGTCTGCGCCCTGTCATAGGGTAGTTGTCCCTGCTCCCCCATTGGTGAAATGTATCTAAATGTGCCCTTCCTGTCCTCTAGGGAGGCGGAGATAAATACAAAGATGATGAAGTTATCCTAGCTACATCTAGCACAGGACTGATGAGGCTTCAGTAATCCCCGCTGTTAGCACTCAGGCCCTCTCTGCCAATGATTCTTCAGTCATAACTCTGCCTCTGCAGTCCTGACCTCCTTGCTTATTAGGTAACTTAACATTAATCCAGACATAGACGCCCAGAAGTATCTCAAACTGACGAGACACAAAATTAAATCAGTTTCTTTCGGTGGCCGTGTCGGGGCAGGGCAGGTTAAAACCAGGTCCTGCTAGGTAGTCCAGGCTGGCCTTGAACTTGCTTACGTAGCCCAGGCTGGCTTCAGACTCACCACAGTCCTCCTGCCTCAGCCTCCAGGGAGCTGGAATTACAGGCATGTGCCACCATGCGAAACTGCAACATGCAAAACACCCAGCAAAACTGAATTAGCTTCTGACCTAACTAATTATCGAATTATCCTAGCTGCTTGCATCTGGGTTAGAAACATCAATACCTATAGGGTCATTCTGGCCCCAAAGCAAATTATCTCAGCCTCTCTCTCCTACCTTACTGGATCTCCAGCAAATACACAAACCAAGCCCAGGCATTAAATTATAGTCACGTTGCTCCTACAGTAGCTGCTTTTCTCTCCCTTCCTGGGTCTGTGTTGTAAGCCGGCATTCATTAAGACACTGCTCTGTGTGTGGGTTAAAGCACTACCCACGCATGAATTCACATGACTCTTACAACCATGTGGACCAAGTGTTCTTGCTATTTCCACCTAACATGGAAGCCCTGCAGTAGGAAGAGGTGAGGAAACTCGCCAGGGTTAAGTCTGCACGTGTAAGTCAGGAGCGGAGCCGGTACCCTGGCAGCACACTACTGCTAACCTTCTCTTCAGATCCACTTTCATTTTCACTTTTATTAGTCCCATTTGTACCTTCCCTGTGTGGAGTTGGCACGTGTGTGAACGCATCTTAATTTTCTGTTCTTCCAGTGTCCCCTTCCCATGTGCAAAAAATAATTATTTTACAAACATCTATGGTTTCACACTCAGATTTCAGACCAATCTGCCCAAAGCTAAGTCTGTTATTCATTTAACATGCATTTACCAAATTCCAACTGTACTCCAAGCAGCATTTTCCTAGTTCATCTCTCAAATATCCACGGTGAATGTGGCATGGCCTAGCCTACAAGATGCTCTTCCTCTTGGGGACAATGGTGCATAAACAGCTCATTTCTACCAGCTGTGATGTGGGCTGGGTAGAGGAACACAGCGGAGGGTTCTGAGGCATGTTGGGGCAGCAGTGTCCTGGTGGGGACACTCACGGCTGACAGCCTCCTGCATTATGTGAGCACCACTGTGTGCTTAATCAGCAGGGAAGACCCAGCCGCCATCTCTAAAACCCAAGGAAACAGGATCCAGCACATGGGAGCCACCAGCAGCTTCTGGGCAATATGGAAAAG